ACTCAACTCCCCTTGAGTTAAGCCGAAAACCGATGGATCTTCCGACCGACTCACCGGAGCCGTCAGAGGCGGGGGCCTGATAAGGTATCACAGCAGAGCTGCTATTATTGCCTTTCACGTCCCTCTTTAGGCCTTCTCGGGCTATGACATGGCGGTTCAGGTGCTCCAGATCGGTCTTCTGATTGTAGTTTCTTTCGCTACTCACATTTGAATTGAGTTGGATGCTGCCGCTGTCGCCACCCCCTTGACCTCGGGCCACCAGGGCTCGTGGAAGATTCAACACCCTCTCATGCATATCAAGTCCACACCACACATCAGTCGATCCACTACCGAATCTCGCACATCTTTCGCGAGGAGAACCGACCCGATAGCTATATAGCCAGCCTCAGCACCTCCATCCCCAAAGGCGCAGTTTCCACCCAAATGACGCCCCTCTCCACCGTCGTTCTCTTGTGCAGATGGATCAAGATGGCTACCTCTCATTCAGATTCTAGTAAACATTCTGTATTTTTGTGCTTTTGCCCACTTTGTGGTGCAGACTGCTCATCAGGGCGCCTGTCACCCCAGGTTCCCACTTTTTTTTTTTTTTTGACATGTGTAGACTGTGTTTTTTTTTCAGCCCAACTAGGGTCTTGATTATATACAGGTTGGGGATCCGGTCTTAATCCCCCACCCTCTGGGGTGTTTCTTCATTTAAAAAAAAAAGAACTTTCATACCAAATAAAAGACGAAAATAATTAAATAAATTTACTAACAAATTTAGGACTAAAATACTAACAATAAATAAAAAAAATAACTAAATTAAAGATTTAAAATATTATGCTTGTCTTCATCTCTATCATTCTACCTCTCTCAAAAAAGATTCGCCTCGAATCCAACGCAATCTCGTCTCTACAGCATATCGGCCAAACTTCTTCCACACAACGCCCAACGGATCTAAAGCCTTCAATCTAAAAATTTTAATACTAAGAACATATTCCATCACAAGAACTTATGGGAATGTGTATTCCCAATATATGGTTTGAACTTGCACATAATCTATGTCGTTGAATTTGTTAGCAAAATGCTCAACATTAGTCGCTTCCTTGGTGTAGTCAATTTCCTCGTCATCAAAAAGATGCATACCCTCATATTTGGTCGACCATTCGTCATAAAAAAGAAGCGGACTCTCATATTCGGTCGATCTTTCGTCATAAAAAAAGAGGTGAACCCACATATTTGGGCTACCCCTCGCCATACCAAAAAAAGCGGACTCTCTTACTCGGTCGACCCCTTCTCATCCAAGAACTCGGTGGCTTCCAAGACATTGGAGAACTATGAGGTCTCAACCCGAAAGAATCCTCACAACGTCGATCGTCGACGAAGTAGTCCTCCTCTTGTGCCAACATATTGCCAAAAGGACGTACTCCGGATGTGGTGACGTCAAAGTCACTGCCATCGACAGAAGATTTAGGCGATTGATAGTAGGGCGCCCCGCATGTGCCCCTACTGCGTCCACCGTTCATTTTCCCACGGTCGCCACGTCCTCCATCGGGGGCGCGATTTTCTTTCTTGCCGTGAAAAGTGATACGTAGAGCTAATTGGATGTTCTCGAGCCCCGCGGCTAGATCTGCGACCTTGCATCCAAAAGCCTATCCAAACGCCTTGTGTTGGCGTCCCAACACCTTACACTAGCATCCCAACGTCGTGTTGTCGTCAACATCGTTCCATCTCAGTGACATCTTGTAGGAATCATATTGGTCTGTTGATACCAGTTGATGTAGCAAAAACGTACGAAAGGGAAAACAAGAGATAAAATCTCATGACAATATTACTTGACCCATTCTCCAAAATGAAGAAGCAATAAATAAAATCACACAAAGCCCTAATTAACTAACTTACCTAACAAGAGAAAGATACTAAATAAAAAATTAAAATAATTAAGTAACTTTACTAACAGATCTATGACTAACGTACTAATAATAAATAAACATAATAAATAACTAAATTAAAGATCTGAAAGATCATGTTTGTCATCATCTCTATCATATCTCCAACTTACTTTTCCAAAGTTAAACACGCAGTTGTTTCTTGTCTTCCATAACCAGCATAAAATATACATTGAAAGATGAATCTTGTCTGCAATGTAATCGGCCACATCAATATATCAAATATCATACCACCAGTGCTTAAAAGAATTTGAAGAGGGATGCAGATCATTTTAGTCAATCCTAACAAGTTTTCAGACATGAAGTATGATGTTGCCCTATTAAAATATACCGATTTAAATGCTAATTACTCGATCGGAAGACAAGTCAAGCCGCTCATGAGTGGACAGAAGGTATCTTAAATCGACTATCTAAACTACCACGATATCTACAGTCGCATTCTCATGTCGAGTTGCCAAAGTCAACTCTCTTTATGACCACAATAGTGCAGAAAGCCCTCTGTATTCGCAATCCTGAAACATGCATGACCAGTGCAACTTCCATAAATCATCCTGAGTCGAGAATGATGATTGCGACTACGATTAACTTTGTTTAGAAGACGAGAATAGTCCAAGGGCAGACCATAGAGTCTCCTGATGCTCATAAACTCTAAGTCGACCTCTAGCTATTCGAGGTGGACTCCTTATGCCTCGAGATGGGGAGAGAGCGACGACTCAAGGTACTTCGTGATATTCGGGCTTATTCGTTGGGTAAGCAAGAGTCTTTATTGGATAAGATGGTATTTTAAGGTGACTCAGGTCTGACTAAGAGAAAATTATGACGCAAGTAAACCGGGAAAATGGGTCGTTCGACCAGGGTAACATAGGTATTGCAAGTAGGTATTGTTTTCTATATAAAGAGACAGGGGTAACCGTAAACCCCAACTTTCATTCTCTATATTCACTTTCTTTGCTGCTGCTGCTCCCACTGAGCAGAACTTTTTCATCTTTCTCATACTGACTTGAGCGTCGGGGGCTCTACGCCGGAAACACTTCCGACGTTGGGTTCTTGCAGGTGTTTGAGGCGACCTAGCAACGATTTAGAAGCGGTTTGAACAGATCGGAGTTTATATTCACATGTTCACTCCGGATCTAGGAGGAGACCATCAAAATACCCTGGGACACTTGAAGAAAATGTGCTCTAAATCCTCCTTCATCTCTCCACACACCTAATAGATAGGTCCCACATTCAAGAATTTTCTCTTTAGCCCATCAGAAGTACTCAAAAAATTTACCAACATCAGCACAGGAAATCCTCCTTTAACATCTCCATAACAGATATAGTATCATTGACATTAATAAAATTGGAGCATTCTTGGTATTACTAAAATTGGGAATTTTATCTCGTAGGCCTTCAAATAATATCAATAGGATACCACCTTATCAATCAGTTACATCTCAATCACATCCCAAAATGTTCTAATCTTACGTGTTGATTTATATATTTCGTAATCTATGCGTCGAATTTTTTTTTATATTCCTACGTGTCAATATATGTGTTTCGTACTCTATGTGTCCGAATTTCGATATATGTATCTGTGCATGTGTCGGATTTTGATTTATGTTCCTACGTGTTGATTTATGTGTTTCGTAATCTATGTGTCGAATTTTGATTTTTGTGTTTGTGTTTCGTAACTCTATCTCTTTGATTTAGAGTAGTACATGTAAATCTAGATTTCAGTCTATGTCATCAATACTTTTAATATCATCAATACTTTTAATATCGTATAACGCTTGACTAGCTTAAATTCTAAATATATTAAAAGTTAATAACTTTTGTATTTGTTATTAGATTTTCATATAATATATCAACTTTTGTATTTCTTATTAGATTTTTGTATATAATATACCAGATTAATCATGTTTTGACGGTATTCTATTTGATATTCATATTGCATATATAAAATAAATAAATAATTTATTTATCATAAAATTATATAATCTATCTACAGTAATAATACTATTATCATCAATATTAAAAATCATATATAGAATCATTACATATGAGTTAAAAATATTATAAATAAGTCGATCAAATTGTGAAAAAAAATCATTTCAAATATAAACATAAAAGTATTTTTTAAAAGTACTTAAAATTAAATAAAGAAAAATCTCATTTTAAATTCTAATAGTAAAATAAATTTTAAAAAAGTATTTAATTTAAATAAATAACTTCTTTCTTACATTACATTAGAATTCCAGTATAATTTTTTTGTTCAGCAAGAGCGTAATTACGATAGTACTGATAATTTTTTAAAATACTAAAACGATCAAAACTCTTCACTGAATAAACTATCTAAAATCAATTTTTGGCAAATAGAGATAGCATCTCAACATTACGATAAACGTGTTTCATTTTCTACAATCAATGGATCATTTTTAGATTTTTTTTTTTTTTATTTTGTGCATGCAATATGTTGGGGTATATTAAAAAAATAATAATAATAATAATAATAAAAAAAAAAAATTATACATATTACTACCTACATTTTTCTCACATAACAAATTCAATGAAATTCACAACAATTCATGTTTATAGAATTGCAGTTTTTCAAATGATTTTAAAATATGTTTAAGCTTCAAGCTGTCTTGTAACATGAATTATAAATGTATGTAAAATAGAAATAATTTATTACATAAAAATTTGAAATGACATTTTCGATATTTGTTCAACATAAAATTCAATTATTTATGCTAAAATACAAATACAAAATAGATGCAATACAAAGCATCAAATATATGAAAAGTTTTTCATTCGAAAACCGAAAACAGGTACGTAACAGCGTTTATTTTATTTTTTAAGCTCACTCAAATATTCAATCGTCTCTTCATCAAAACTACAAAAAGGCACATCAAACACCAAAAAACCATCTCAACAAATACTCTCAATGTTATAGGATGCAAGCACAATTGGGGCCTCTCAAAAGTTATAAAACATCTTCTAAATATGCCAAAAAAATGGATTCCATCTAAAAAAAAACAAATACTGAACCGTGGGCCCTACCCTGAGAATTTAGTCGACGTACTTTTGTTTTTACCAGGGACTGTTTCCGGTGGAAGACGATGACATCACAGAGAGAATGTCGGTTACGGAGGCCATAGCGCTCAAAGCAGCTTTCAGAACGTCTTGCGAGCATCCAGGTTTCACTATGGCACGTACCTGGAATTGTGAAGAGGTAAAAAAAAAGGTAATCAAATATTAAACCAAACAAAATAAAAGGGATAAAAAAGTGAATTGGATTTTTCGCTCGTAATTGGACTAGACCTCGGGAGTTGTGTTTGCAAGTAATAGCTGACTGAAGTAAGAAAGTAATCAGGGTTCGATTGATTTTGATTTGCTCCCAGATGATTTCAGGGATTGAAAAAAATGATTTGTAGGGAAGAAAGAGCATATAACCTTGTCAAGGTGTTCCTGCAATTTTTTTATGCGGCCCATGTAATCCTGATCTTCAACGCAAAGGGTCACAGCCTTAGCATCAGCACCGGGACCTTCAAACTGAAGGGGTCCCGGGTTTCTATACACATCGTCCATCAGAAACTTGGTTGCATTCTGTCTCAATAACCTGCCAAACAAAGTGAAACACTGGCTCAAGTACTTGACCAATTATCCTGGATAAGACGTTCCAAAAAAGAGTAAAGAGCGAAAAAAGTGTAAACAGAAACTGTGAAATAATAAAGTTACAACTTACAAGAATATTCATAATTCCATGCCACTACATTAGCCCAACTAATAGGCCAAGATATCAGTCAAATATTTCCCTTGAGATTTTGCCAATCAATTATTCCCCATCTCATATCAATCAATTATTACTCTCATTACTACTAAAATAAACTCCATATTACACATTCAAAGAGACAAAAACTTGGGAGTTGGGCCACACAGTCTGGAAACTTCATCAACCGATTTAGTGCTATTCATGTTAGTTATTTTTTTGCTCGTTCAAGTTTTTGTTTCAGCTTTTTAGGGTTTTTAGTTTCTTTCTTCTTTTTTGTTTTTTTTTTTTTATAACTTTTAGTCCCTTTAATGTTTTAAGAGTTTTCCTATTTTCAAATATTTTCCTTCATATTTTACTTTGAGATTATAGAGGAGTGGAAGGAGTGTGGTTCTTTCGAAGATTATTCACACAGTTTGATAATAAAAGGTAAAAATGAGAGGCAAGACATACTCATAGGCTTTGCCCTTCAAATCAACAATTGCTGGATGCAAAGCTGGTTTTCCGAGGTTTGAAGCCCCAGGACCATGACCATAGCGCCTAACAGTCATCATAGCCTGAAAAAGTCGCAAATGAAATTATCACTTTGCCATTACATCATTCACAACTTATCAAGGAATGTTTTCCCAGCCGGAACTTTCCATGAGCAATATATAAACGATAAAGGATAAAGAATCATACTGTTATAGGTGCAGCACCACAGCGCCACTTATTAACAGGATTCTTCAAGTTGGTTACCGTTGCCATATAACCATTCAAACCAGCAGCAATTATGTGATAGCTATGACCAAGCACCTGTCATAACATCAACATCACTTTTTAGATCTTTGGCATGTTTGCTAATTCATATTTCAACAAAGAGAATTAAATAGGAGAATTATGATAACAAATTAAACGCATTTCTACCCTCCAATTTTTTTATTTTTTTTTTTTAGCCAACAGGCGCAATCATGAAACCACTGGGCCCGGGAATTTGTTTCAAATTTGTTTCATCAATACCAAAAGGTTAGGATTAAATCAGAAACTGAACTTACATAAGCATAATCACAATCAAATTTTGATGGCAATGATCCACGAGCTTGATAACCGAAAAAATGGCAAATTGCATTGAATTTCTTTCCCTTGTATGTCCCTTCTTTCTGCACAGGCACAATGAGATGCAAAATGATCACAATCTAGTACAAGATTTCTTTTGAAAATTATCAAATAAAGTGACACGAGAGGAACCAATAAACAGTGCAGGAAATGCAATTTTGGATCTTCATAAAAACATAAGCACGAGAGAGAGAGAGAGGGTTACCAATCGCTTGTTCATCTCTGCTTAAACAAGATGAGCTAGGAGTTTCTCTGTCTCAATCTGTTTAATAATGGCAAGGAATTTAGCTAAGAGTTGCTTCACCTTGTGCAAAGATAAAACTTAAACGGACATGTTTGGTTTACGTACCTGAGATAGCTGTGCTGAGTCATCAGATTCTGGGTGAAGAAGGAGCTGACACAACACCACTATCAGCGTAAGCAAGATAACTCAAGGAGATGAATAATATGCACATTTTAACATAATTAAATGACTTATAATGTACCTGTTTTCTAATAAATGGAGGCAGAAACTCAAACAACGCAGATGCCCACGGTGACAAATGAGCAGAAATTTTTTCAGCAGAAACACCTTGCCTGAGCAAGCCATGAATTTCCTGGGAGACGGAGAAATATCAATCGCATATCAAAAGAGATCATCATACAAAAAAACCAAGGCTGTTAACATCCCAGATTCTATCATAAGCAACTAAGCTCTCAACACATTTGGAAAACTACAAGAAAAAGGGAATTTAGTGACGCTTTTTTTTATTTTTTTGTGCTTAGTGACACTTATTAGCATCACAAACAAATTTACCTAACCTTTTAAAAGTGTCACGAGTTGCGTTGTTGAATTCACTGTAAGTATATATTTCAAGAATGGGAAGTGATATAGTGCAAAATAAAATGACTGAGAAGCCAATGATCAATGATGGTTACCTTCAGTAGTGCATAAACTTCAGGAATGCTTTCTATGAGCCCCTCAGGCAATAAGATGACACCATGGTGTTTGTCTGGAGAAGGAAATATGTCAGAAGGCAATCATTAGCTGTTAAAAACTAAAATACCAAAAAAAAAAAAAAAAAAAACTAAAATACCAACAAGGGCTCCTCACGAATTCTACCTTGTTCACCCCTAGCTTGCACTGCATCACATATTTGTTTTGTGATGTCAAAAAGTGTTAGTTTTGATGCGGCCACTTCTTCAGCAAGAATAACCTGCAACAATGATAAAAACTCTCAAAAACACAGAGGAAAACTCAAAGTATCTAGCAGTGTCGCTGTTTCATCAGACTATCAAAGAGGAATCAAAGTACAAACCATATTGGGGTGAGATTGGAGAGTGCATTCCAACGCGACATGTGAAGCCTTCCGCCCCATGAGACGAATAAAATAATAATACTGCAAATGGATGGAGAGATAGAAGAAAATAACGAAGATGAGTTGTACAAGAACTAACAAGAAGATGAAATATGCACATATCATGTCTTCTAAAGACAAAAAAAAAAAAAAAAAAAAA